ATGATGGAAAGATCCTCCACTTGCTGCCCTTTGGGAATGAAATCCCTGACAATAAGATCACCATTGCCACTTGCTGCCAAAAGCGGGACACGATGTTTCTGTTGCACCTTGAGGAGACATTGATGAATCAAGTCATGCTTATCCTTTGCGTGCTCCTGAACCACACGGTAGCCATAGATCGCAGCGTGATTCCAGATTGGATCAGAGCAGGCCTCTTTCAGCATCGTTTTGAATCTGCCCAAAGGATTGTCGTAAAAGGCTTGGAAAGTCTCTTTGGTGGTGAGCCTTGCATCACACTCAAGTACAATTTCACATACAGCAGCCAACGTCATAGTAATGGATGGCGTCGGCAAAGAAAAATGGACTTCTGGTGTGATCACAAGCAAGTGCACCTGCCTTTTGTATTCCTGGTTCAGAGCAGTATCAAAGACAATCACTTCAAAAGGCCCCGTCAAGTTGGGCATTTTGGCAAGGGGATCAGTTGGGTCAACAATCGGCAGCAGCAGTGCACATGGTTCTTTGGGCACAACCTCCTTGGCTTGTTGCAGATTCCCTTTGGAGACAAAGGCAATGCCTCCTCGATTCGTAGACAATTGCTGCTTCTGCACAAAGGGAAGCGGAGCTTTGTCTTTGCCAACGAATGGATGATCTGTCTGAAGCTGCAAATCTTCCCATTTACTCTGTTTGGTAACCTTCTTCTTAGTTGCCCACGGATCATCAAATTGCCACGGATCAACTGCCGGCGAAGCAGCACCATCTTGAGCCTGCCCTTCCATACCACCAAGGGAGACTGCTGAGCATGGTTGGAGTAATTGGGAGGAATGCCCTTCGGAGATTTTCCGCAAAAGTCCGAAGCAAGGGAGGAGCTCCTGCAATTCTCCATGCACGGTTTGACTCTTCCAGAATAAGGTCAACGAGGTGACGCTTCTGCAGCGGAATATGGAAATCCTCAGGCAAAGAGAAATCACCAACAACCCACCGATGAAGCAACTCCCATCCACACATTCCAGGACGTGTTCTGGTGGTGTCGACAATAATAATGGGTCTGAAACCAAGCGGAACAATGTACTCCTCCGCAAAGTTGGTCCAGTAGTGCTGCGCAGTGGCAGGAGCTTGAAGGATTACAACTCGACACGTCTGCTCAGCCACATTGCAAACGACTTCAATGCCAACCCAATGCCCTTCTCTCAAAGCAACGAAGCGTTGCGCCTGATCACATCTTGGTTTGACTCCTGGAGCAATTAGTGACAAATCGATATGCAACACTGGAGGACAAAAGGACTCAGGAAGAAAGTAGGACAAGAAGAACTCAATCTCATCGCTGGTCGCCCATCCAGGGTGCGTGCGGTAAATGTTGGCACGCAGATCCAGCCACTCTTCAGATACAAAGAAGATCTCGTGGATGTTGTAACCTTGTGGTGGCCGTCCAGTTGCCCGGAGGGCAAGGTCACTCGCTCTGCTAGGCGACTCCATGATGGCAACCAAAAACGCATTTCGACTGGCTCTAGCAAATTGGAGCATTCGGTCATCGGTGTTGATTTCCCTCCAAACGAAGTCAGCCTGATCGATGATCTGATTGACGTGGTCACTGTACTGCAATCTTTGCAATCTCTGGGTGGTTCTATGCGTGGTGGGTAGAAGCGGCGCTCCAGCCCTGGCATAAAAGGTCCGAACCGTGTGCCAAGCTGACAGATCAGAATCCTCCGTTGTTCTCACCCACCTGAAGGCATTCGGGAAAACTTGAATTCTCATCACATTTATAAGCTCAAGAACAGCAGTACGTTGGCGCTGCGACAGTTGCTCTGGCGAATGGTAAAGGACCCTCCACTGCCCATCAAAGAAGCGGACTTCCACAAATATCCAGTCGAAGAGGACCAAAATCGGTACCACAAAGTGCTGATAGCACAATTGCAGGTCAGCGGGCTCGACAGGAAAACGGAACTGAGTGGCATTATTGACCCAAACCGCAGGCGGACACCAACAAATTGAGGGCATCAGAAGCTGCAACATGTCACAATGAAAGACCATCTCATCAATGGCCAAGGCACCGGGTTCGAAATTGAATTGCAGGAGACGGGCAACTACCTGATCATCGTAAACATTGCAGCCCGGATCATTTGCAAGGTGATCCATACCACCCAGATAGACAGGAGCCGTACCAGCAGGCCTAGCATCACACCAAAGTACATCTCCATTGATGAGCATCAGAGGTTGATCAGCTCGACATTCAATGGCATTCCGCATTTGGCTGGTGCATTCTTGTTCAAGATGAGCGGAACACTGCGCTGGAGTCAAGGTCCGTTTGATTCTGCAAATCTTCAACCACTTGACATCCCTGCCACCGGCCAGAAGAATCCACTTAAGTTCGCTGACAGGCTCGTAAGGACCATGAATAGCCATCACCACTTGCACCCCCAAGAGGGAACGGCACGCCTCTTGATTGACTTTGACGAAATGCATACATTGGTCCTCGAGATTGAAGGAAGGGATGCTGCCAAGGCGCTCAGAGTTGGCATGCTGAATCCAGTTGAAAGTACCATCTTGTTGGAGCAGGAGTACCCGAACTGTCGTTCTTGGCTGATCATCCTGACATACATACTCCATGGCATGCAAGAGGCCACTGCGCTGCGCGTCAACCAGGCAATCAAAATCAGGGTCATCCCCTGTGTCCCACCATTGCTGCGTAGGCGACACTATGGGATCATCTCCAGCATTTGTGCCCACACGTTGAACATTGAGGGTGCAAATGACAAAAGAGCCACACTTGAGAGTGATGCCTCCAACCGGAAGCTGGTTCCATGTGACATCCTTCGACAAGTCATGTCCATCACAGCTCAACTCGATGAGGTTAACATGTTGCGGAGCCAACTCCAAAGCATGAAGTAAATCAATCCGGACTTGTGACTCCTCATTCTTAGTGAGCGGCAAAAGAGTGAGATCATCACAAAACCTCACCAAGGTGGACCCCGCCAACCAAGGCTGCCATGTGATGACACTTGGGATAGCCTTTCCAACAACATCAGCAATAGGCTGAAGGACATACATATCATCAACAAATCTCACAATTGCATTGCCTGTGGTGAGTCGTTCTTCCCAACATTGCGCCACAAGAGCCAGCTTAGGAATAGGTTCTCCAGAGACTCCTTCCAAAGCAAAAAGCACCGCAACCAGGGCATGCAATTGTGAAATGGCATTGCCAAGCTGATGAAAAGCAGAGCGCATGTTCATAGGCAAGGCCAAAGTGTTAGTAGTGCCAAAAAGAGACGCAAAGAGAAAGGGGTCAATAAACCGGAACTCATCATTCACCTGCATCAAGGTAGCAAAGATCCCCTTGGCCTGCACATGCTCTGCTTGGAGATGATGTTGCGCAGAATAAGACGCACACAAGGTCGGAAGGTACTCACCCTTTTGCAACGTTCTCAAAAGGAGAATCTGGTGACAAGATGCTCCATCAATCGCCCGTGCCTTCTTTGCAGGAGGGAGAAGCGCCTTGTTGCCATACACTTGCAACTGACTAGCATCAAGTGTAAGATCACTGACAAGTTGCTGGGGCAAAGCAAATACATGCTTGTTGTCATTCCACGGAATCCTGCTATGTAGAGCACAAAGAAGGCGCTCATCAGATTTATGCCCTTGGACATCTTGTCTGCACCATACCGCCAACCATCGAGTTCTGTGGTTTCCAGTGACCTGATGCATCGCAACATCTTGCGACCACAATCTTTTATATCCAGCAAGTTGCATAGCAGCGGAGAGTACTCGCCAATGCGGATGTGCCTCCAAGCCATCAGAGCACTCAAATAGGGCCAAGATTGGCCGAACCCGAGCCACATGCAAGATGGCGTCCAAGAAACAAAAGCCCTCATCAGAAGCAAGACCTGAGTTCTTACCTCCACGACTCCAGCTAGGACAAGGAGGCGACAACGTCATGAGTAGGTTGGACTTGTTCGAAGTAGCCCTCAGAGCAGTGACATCGTTGATGTCTGCCAGGACCCCAACATACGTCTCTGTGGGATCGAAGTCTGCATGAATTGGGCACCTTATGACATTGAGCTTGTGGTTATAGCTCCATGTTTTCATGACCTCCGGACACCAGTCCACCGAGACATGTGAGGCAAAGGCAAATCCCAAATTAGCATTCTGAAGCCACCACATGGCCCTGAGCCACCCCTCGTAGGCACCACAGAACAGGTGAGAAACCTGCCAAGCTAAACTGCTGGTGTAGATAGGGATGTTCCACACAATTGCTGACTCATCTAGCAACACGCAAGCACCTTCCTGACGACAACGGGGTGGCACCAGAAGGCCGACCCACATACCCGGAGAGAGGTCCACTTTGCAATGCTTGACCGTACACAGGAGTTCAAAGGTCGCCCACCCGTGATCAATGAGTCCATCATCTCGCATCAACATTGAAGTCCGACGAACCCGAGTTCTGGGAGGCATACCCGGGACTTCGTCCATGACCTCCCCAAACAGCACCCAATCAGCATCCTCGCCCCCACACTCACCTGTACGGGCAATGCCACGAAGTGCGGAAGCCACCGTGTCGGCCAGCATCGAAGGCATGCCAACCGTAGACCATTGAATGAGCGCGTCAACAGCATTCAAACCAGTCTTCCTCATCGTATCCTCGATCGCCATGGCAATCTCAGGCTGTGCGGAGCCTAAGTCTGTGGACGCACCACCCCAGCCGTGGAGGCTGGCAGCAGTGCCCCGGCCCTTGCGGGAGGGCGTAAGCCGAAGAGCTGTGAACCCAGACGGCTCGGGGGAGCTTCCTTGAAGAAGCGTGAGCTCTCCTGCGTTCTGTCGGTAGTAGCTTACTTGTAGGTACTAGCTACCGTTTTCTTCTACTAGCTACCTCTAAGCTACTAACTACCTCTACGGCCTACCCGTCCGTGATCTCGGTGGTTTCAAGCAGCGCTTCTTCACCCACCTCGGCCAGCAGGCACTGTGTCGTCTGCCCCTCCCCGCCGTGTGCCTGTGTCTGCGACGCCCAGGGATGGCGCAGCGATTCTTCAACCTGGTGCAGTCCCAAGCCCATCACGCGTGGGCCGTTGGGTCGAGACTCCAGACCGGTGCGGAGAAAAGACGAGACCCGCCCAGAAAGGTGAAAGGTTGGGATGGACTCCTTGCTTTTCGCCTGGGCATGGCTTCCGAAAAGTTGGATGTTCAAACGTCCACGAGGTGTTTCTATCAAGGAATTGGTTGTTTGAAGACTGCCTAGGCAATGGAATGTACCGTGCAGGTCTTGCTGCCAGCGGTGCGACAGGACATTGCAGAGCAGCTGCCTCAGCGAGCGAGCAGTTGAAGACCTCATATACACTCCTTAAAATCATCATGGAATCATGCAAGTTCACCACCTGTTTGTAGAGGAAGATGGTGCCATGCACGTAACCATGATTTGTCCAGGGAGTGTCCAGTAAGCTTTGAAGCCAAGATGACTTGACCATTTTGCCCTCGGACCCCACCTGCAGTCAGCTTGTGGACATCCACCTCTTTGTGTGGGATTTCATCCACTTCCAAGTGAAAGTGTTCGTCGGAGTGAACGGGAAGTGCGACAGATTTTGCGATGGTTCTCTGTACATCTCTTCTATGACTTTGTCCAGCAGAAATGGAAAGACACCGTAGAGAAGAGAGAGAGAGCGAGAGAGAGAGAGAGAGAGAGAGTGCAGCGAATTGAGTGGTCCAATAGCGGCTGGCTTAGTTCTTCTATTTTTTGACACGTGACGTGTGAGGGAGCTGGACATCATGTGAACCTCCCTTAAGATCTGGAAGCGATTCAAACGACTGTTTCTTTTGTGCAAAACAGGATGTGGATGTTGCTTGAGAAGTTGAAGCCCTAAAATGTGTGTGCCGTGTCCCCAACAAGGGTTTCGATTGGCAGCACAAAACTCTGGCTGTTTGAACCTGCCTACGTTAGCTTTTCAGCAGCCCAGATAAGAGGTATACTGGGCCTGGGGGAGGCATCCTCTGCAAAATCCACGGAGAAGTCTGGTGGCAAAGGACAATCTACAGTTGAGACAGCCAAGGCACAAGAAGTTGAACTTCCACTACTACAGGCAGGGTCCAAACCGTGCCATTTGGTGCCATCCTCGGACCAACGGGGTGAAGACCAAGCATACAGATAAAGTTGAACATGGATCAATGTGACACCGACCTGCTCCTGTATATGGAATTCTCTCCAAGTCATTAACATGGAAAAGCACCTGTTTGTGTACCCCAAATGGTCTGACCAAGGGGCCGATTTTCACTTCCAAAAGCTGTCCTTCTCCCCGAACATGGCGAGATGGCTGTTCGGACGCATGGGCATGTCCGCTCCCAGGCGGTTGGTTCTGCGGGTTCTCCGTGTTTCGGCTCCCGGTGGTCGAGCCAACGGGCCTTTCGTTTGGCGCCGCTGGTTCTGGAGGGCCGTTCGTTGCCCGAACCGTTTCCTGCTTGGAGCTGAAACGAGTCGTCTCAGACCAACGGGTCTGGTTGACCTTGAGGGTGATGCTTCAGTTCGTAGCCTGGTTGGGGTTTCAGATCATCACGGGTCCCTGTTGCCTCCCCCTGAAACAGCCAACGGATGATCGGACAAACATCGACTTGAACACATGCCTGGCGACCGCCTGTCGCCAGGGCGCTGCGGAAGTCTCTCTTCAAGCCAGCAGCCTTCTTCAAGGTCGACCTTCTTTAGATTCTTTAAATGTTCATTCCAACTTGTGGTCCAGACCGGGTCGACATCCAAAACTGCACCGAAAGCACCTCACATTCAATGCATGAAACTTGATGCCTCACAACCCACGGCGTTGTGGGGCCGAGCCGAGCCGCCGCGAATGGTTCCAGGGCATCTTGCTGCCCTTGGCAGCAGAGAATTGTACCTTGAGGGAGGCAAGCAGTCTGACAGCGCACAGGGAAGGACATGCATCCCACAGTCATTTGGGGGATGGACCACGCTTAGATGGTGAGGGGAAAGGGGGAAAGGCCAGTGGGTCAAAGAGACCTTCCCTCCTTTACACGTTATGTCAGCAAACGGTGTCTTCGACTGCCGCCGCCCCCATTTTTTCAAAAAGAGTCCGAGTGGACATAGCGGGAGATTCCACCATCGAAAAGTTGGACTTGGAATTCTTCACAGGAGTAGATCACAGAAACATCATTCAATGATGTCACAGGTTGAACTGTTCCAGGAGGAAGACTCCTAGCTGGTGCTCAGCATGGAGCGATTCGGAGCTGGGGTAGGCAGATGTTCGCAGCGACCACCTCCAACCTTATAGCGATGGCCTCCAACCTTATAGCGATGGCCTTTAACCCAATAGGGATGGCCTCCAACCCTATGGCCATGGCCTCCCAATTATTTTTTGCCTAATTGCTAGTCTCAGAATCATTCATTGGCGGTTCCAGGCCGTGATCCTGGGTTCCGTGGTCAGCAAGGCATCCGTCCCTGTGATGCACGTCCGCCACCAAGTGGCCCGCCGGGGGTTTGTGCGGAAGCGCTGCACCGGTGCAGCGCTGTGAGAAGGCGAGACGCGGCATCTGTCCCCAGATGGCATGCGTGACGCTTTCATGGAGTGAGTCTCGGTGAAGAAGCGACCAAGAAGAAGGGGACTTGGCCGACTTGGCCAGTTCGTCACACGGACTTTGTCATTGGAAGCCTTTGACACATCGAAATGGTTTTCCCAGCATTTCTTTGCATGTCACCATCGTCAGTTGTTCCAGTTCCGAGGTGGCTGCCAGCATCGTGCGACTTTGCGTGACCCGACTTGACAGCAAGCAATCTGGAAGCCGCTTTGTGCCTGGTAGGTGGGTCAAACCCAATCAGGGGACTAAGTCGGGCTAAGTGACTACTATATAAGTGTAAGAGATGAAAGAGATGCATGGAACAAGCAGACGAACATGGAGTCGTCCTTGCCCTGCGTCACTGACACAGGAGGGGAATGGTCCTTCCTCCCACAAAAAAGGTGACTTTCACTCATTTCCAATCCCTTGAAATGAGAGACGCAACAGCTAGTTGCTAGAGCCACACAGTTTCTGAGTTGCGGGATGAACTGCGGTTTTTGGGCCACAAGCTATAAACTATGAGTTCTGAATCGCTGCCTTTCCAAGAGACCGTCCAGGAAGGTCCAATCGAGTCAGGTCCTCAGTTGGGTCATGTAGACGATTAATCAACACACCCCTCAGGCCCCAGACATGGATTGTAAAACTGGGGGTTGACATACGTAGAATCAAGAGTCTACACGAATCGAGCTCTCTTGGTGAGCGAAGAAAATCCGATGCGCAACAACTGCCTAGCCTACTCGTCGCCTCAGACGATGACGCCGTGGTATGGAACGACGGCCATTCTGCTAGCTGCCCAACTCAACAAGAAGCCTCACGGCTGCATGTGCTGTGCAGACTCGCAAAAAAGGCTGGAAATGAAAGGGAGAATCGATTGATGATGGATGTTGTCATGCGGGTTCAAGCCTAGATAGGTTGCTGGATGACAGTGACTAAGCTGCGCGCGTGTGTTTCTGGGTCTCAGCTCATCTTCCTTGTGGTGCATTCTTTTGAGGATACGCGACTGAAGAAATCTGAGAGGATACACGAGGACACATTATATATACATATAGTAGTTTTGACAGTGCTGGTTCAGCACTTTCAGCAGGTCCAACAGATAGCAACCAGTTTGTCACAACAACCAAGGATTGCACCTCTTGTTTTCTAATGAATATCGCACAGATCCCGAAGAGTACTTCTTGAAACAACAACTCTGTGCGCGCTGGCGCTGACTAGGAGCTTTCGTCGTTTTATAGGGTTCCAAACTGTTCGCAAGCCGCCCCAATGGTGTCACATATCATCCTAGGTATGCGCTTCCGCTGAAAGTCATCGAGTGCCTGGTTGCTCACTTTTGCGCTTTCGCCAGCGAAGGGCATGTGCTGCCTCTGGCTTGGGCCTGAACGGAAGGACATGCCATGACTTCGGAGAGCCACCAGGGCCTGAGACCCATCCCTGTAGTAAGAACTGGATCCTATCCATGTACATTCACGATGACTGTGCTAGGGAGTCCGTATTTTATCGGAGAATTCCTGCAGGAGTGGTTTAGATTGAAGGGGTCGAGGGGTATGTATCTGCGTTGAGGAGCGAGTTGGCTAGATAGACCAATGTGCAAGCACCGCATAGGCTTCCCGAAGTTCATGGTTTTCAACTGATTTCAGTCCAGGCACTCCCTTACTAAGGATGTACTTTGGCCTTTTCAAAAACCATCCTTAGGTAGCTGGACTTGTTATATAAGAATATTGCCCTTTCAAAGATGGTGCAACTCTGAGGTTTGGCATCGAGCACTTCTGATCTTCGTTCAGACGCTTGGGCATCAACAAGGGGCCTGCATTTTTGGGTCAAACTTGACGACTTCTGGGACTCAGACCCCGTTGTGACTCTCAAAAATCCTGGTTTTGAGAAGATGGATACAGCGAATCCATAGGCCGTTGATCAGGGTTCACTACGGCACCTAACTCCCCTCCCATGAACACCGCACTCAGTTGACGCCCCTGCGCTCCTCTGCACGAACTGTGGGATGTGCTTTGCTTCCAAGTATCAACGGCCCAAAATATGCACACTGTCAATGTCTATTTGTTTACTGTATATAAATTGCCATAGGGCAGCACATGTAGGCATGAATGAACAAGACCTAGATGCCCTTCTTCGCACTGAAGGAAGGGTCCTTTTAGTTTGGCGGAGGTTGTCAGGAACCCAACTGGGGCGGTGGGATTTCGCAGTTCGCCCTGGTAGGTTGACCATGGCTGGTAGTCTATTCTGTTCCCCCGCCGCATTGCTGCGAGGAGATATAAGTTCGACTTGTCTGCGGATCAGAAGAGGCGCATCAAGGACGCACGACGGCCGAAGGGACATCTTGTGCTGCGTCTTCCCGAGCGTGTCGCGACACGCGACAGCAAGGAGTTGCTGCGGGTTCATCATCATGAGTCTGCTGGGCACTGAGCTTTTTGCGAGTCGTTCTGCTTGACGATGCCTCTTTCAGGTTCAGGTGGTGGTTGAGCTCCACAGAGCTTCTTCAAGCTTCTTCAATTTCCTAGTCAGGTTCACAGAAAAGCCAACAGGCAACACCACGTGAAGATCACACAAATTGCTGTTCGATTTGCGTCATGTTTCGCTCGCTGGACGAGATCCTCATCGGCGAATCAGTGAGCGGGTAGTCCTTTGATCACACAAACGTCCCCAGAGCCCAAGCAGTCAAGAACTGAAGAATCACTGCAGTCTTCATATTCTGGGGTAAGGTATACCTCCTTCTTTCGTCTGCGTGCCTTTCAGTGATCCTTTTTCATTTCGGGTTGTGTAGTCGTTGCCTCCTCCAGAGTAGACCCGTGGCTGTCGGCGTACGTTGAACCCCTGACGAGATCCGAGGTCTCGATAGGTGAACTGTTTTCGTGGGCAAAGGCTTTTCTGTTTTCGGGTGTAAAGAGACAACGAAACAACGGAGACAACAGGACATACTAAGAGTCATCCTGCAAAAGTTACATACTCAAGTTGTTTTTCAAACTGTTGGCACCAAACATGTACACCTCCCCCTTCAAAAGAGGTCTGTTGATCATCTGAACTAGCCCCAGAGGAGGCTTTGAAGGGTGTTACCCTTCATGGGCTTGATAGTTCTTTTATTGGATCGGACCCATGGTTTTCATCTTTCCTGCACTGCAGGATTCTTTCCTTGAAACCCACTTAGTAAGGCTCCAGAACTTCCTCCCTGCACCCCATCTCCCACCCGAGGTGGCGCCTGAAATCCGACGTGAGTTGGCTGCCAAGCCGGAGGTGTGCGGCTTCGATCGGTTCGGCGGTTCATGCGGAGGTGATGGATGGGGATGGGGGATGGGAGCTGTCTTGGACTCCCACCCCAGAACTTCTGGTGAAGCAGAAGAGCATGTTGCGCAAAGCCTGATTCAAATCACAATTTGGGCATTAAGCGTTAGAGTCTTCAGGAGGGTATATACTTACATTGACCCCACGTCAATGAAATATGCCAGTCCCATTCAGGGTTGGAGGAGGTCAGTTGGGACTTGAGGGTGGGCTTGGGCTCCCCATTGGGTGGACTTGGGATTTCCGCGTTGTTACAGTAGCTTCAGTTTGTTTTGAAGAGGAGTTCGGTTACAACCAGGATGCCTGTTATTACTCACTGTGAGTGAATGTGAGTGAATGTTTGGTGTTATCGGTGTTATCTATACTGTAACTCTATAATGATTAGGGCTTAAAGCTCGTGGCCTGGACTCTGCACTTGCACTGGCTGTCACTTCTATCGACATCCTCAAAACCCTCAACGCCACTCGCACTGTGCTCCCGGAGGATCCTTTCGAATACTCCACCGATAACACGCCCCGGTGGGGAATTTCATTCGACCAGGACCTGGTCAATGTCAATGAGTTGTTTGTTCAGAGCATCTTTCCACCTGCTTCTCACAGGAGGTTCCAGGTGCTCCCGGTGCTTCCGCTGATGCCATGGAGATTGGCTGAGAGAATCGAAGGGCTTTTTGGGCTGTGAAACCAGTCACAGAATGCAGCAGTGTATATTTATTCATTTTTTTCATTGCATGTCTAGCTGATGCTGTCTCCCATCTTGGTAGCTTCCTTGGGCCTCTTCGTGACGAGCTGTTCCCCCACGCATGAATGCTTTTAACAATTCTTTCACACCCAGCTTGTGTCACGCAGGGTTGAAACACTGACAAGACTGGACACCTGCGTGAAAGTTCATCTTAGAGTTTGGACGCAAGAAATCCATGTTAACGGCCGCTGTTCACACTTTTTCACAGCCCAAGCCGATGAACACGTGGGATCGTTGTAAGACTGTGACGGCCATTTATGGACTGCAAAGCAGTTCTGCGAGCAGCAGATGTTCCCAAAACGCAAAAAGGAGATGAGTGGCTGAGGTGATCAGTGTCGAGGCAGGACAATGGGTTTTGCTGAGGGTTCTTATCCAACCCAAAGCACGTGGTCCTTTGGAATGCATAAAAATCATAAAAGGTGTCGTCTCATGTGCCACCAACATTGGTGAGCAATGTCGGCATGGTCGCGAACAATTCTCACTCCATCCCAGCCGCCGTCCTGCTTCAGCTCTTATAAGTGGAAGCCCCAAGTCACGACATGTCAAGCATCAGGTAACTCAGGTGACTTAGCAGCCCAGCCATTGAGGCTTCACCACTGAATGAGTGAGGAGAAGAGGTCGTCAGAGGGTTGTGTCACGAATTGGGCCGTCTTTTTGTGGAAGCCAAACCTTCGCGATCCATGTCGACAGATAAGCAGGAGAGTCAGGAGAGTGTGAAGTTCTTGTCACAGCCGCGATCTTGAAGCTCTGTGTAGTTTTGCAAATGGGGTGTGCAGCGTGCACCGTGTGGCATGGATGTAGCTTGGCTGCACATTCTGTTGTAATCGTAAAGGCCAGAAGATTTCACAGACTTCCGAAGGGTGCTGGGGGTTTGGGGTGACGTCACATCCATTTCTCCAGAGCACATGAGGCTGTTGTTTGGCCCAAGTCAAACTTTTCAGAGGCCACGCTGCAGCCGAACCAAGAAGACTGAAAATGTTTGGCCAATCGTTGTCGTTGGAGAGCTGGAGACCCAGCCAACGCCTGGCCCCCCGTTTCTGCACCCCGGTTCAAGTCTTTGGGTGAAACTTGCTACAAGGTGGTTGGGACTTGGGGTCCAGGCTGTATCTTATTACGCATCCGTAAATTTTCGACACAGTTTAGGTGACATGGTTTTTTTTTCCAGCAGCGAAGTGAAGGACGTTCCCACATCATGTTCTTATCAAAAGGATCCCCGACTCCTTGGACACTTCGAACAAACATGAGCCTCCACAGGGTGTCCCATGTGAGGGCGCGTTTTCAGAGTGCCCTTTTTGCCCCCTCTTTCCTCGAGGTGACCAGAGAGGTCTTCCATAGCTGGGTGCGTTCCGACCCCCTTGCATGGATCGTTCTGCGGACCGAGCCCATCGTGAGCCCGGCGGAGCCAAGGACTTCGACCGCGCCGTCCAAGTCTTGTTCTCACCGCCCGGCCCGTCGGGGCACTGAGGGGCAAAGCAACTGATTCAAATCCATCGAAAAGCTGGATTGGCCCTCAAAGTGACATGGTCTTCTTGGGATGAAAGATGGACACTTGATCCACAAACCACGCTTTAGCGTTTGCAGGTCCCTAAACAGCTCTCCCGCTACCCCAGACGCGAGATACCAGGGCAGCCAGCTGTGTTGTAAACAGAAGCCTGTTTTTTCAGGCTAAACGATCCTTTGGATCCTGGATGTGATGTGCCCCCATGG